GGGGTAATTGTTATAAAACCTGAACATTAATTTCTTCATTTGGAAGATGAGGAAAATAATGCCTGCTCTCCTACCTCACATGGTAGTTATAGAAAAAAATCTGTGAACTACAAATTATTATCAGAGTACATTAACATGAATAGCAGACATAGTAATGGTATCACTCTGGTGGACATCTATTGGTTTTTTTTGTTTTTTTGTTTTTTTACATCTCACATCCATTCTTCCTTTTTTTGTAAGAGTGCCCCAATTTACTTTGGGAAAATGATTCTTCTCCACATCTTGGTGGACTAGCCACCAAGAGCTCTTGACCTTCCAAGGCTAAGCAGTGGACACCTGTCCAAACTGGGACAACTGGGACTCTCCTGAGACTAATTCTTGAGTGGAAAAATGAAGAAAACAAAACAAAACAAAAAACAGTTAAAATGATTTTTTTCTCTGGCTATGGAGTCCTAAAGATATTAATTCTTGCTACATAGACCCGAGAGCATCTCTGGCGCGGCAAGGACTGTGCTGTGCTCATCAAAACATTTCTACTTTTTTCCTGGGGAAATACAAAATAACAGCAGAAGTGACCCACGTCATTGCCAGACCTGGCCCCTAAAAAGGTCCCACATGACCTTTCTCACTCTCCCTTTCTGAGCGGCTGTGAGCAAATGTCTCCAGTACAGCTGAGCTGAACAATGGAGAAGCTTAGAGCCCTACTCCGCCACATGGAAGGGAGCTACCCAGGTGAGCCTCCTAACCCATATCTGACCAGGACAAGAGGAAATAACAGATTTCTACTGCAGTAAGTCACTGAAATTTGGGGGGGGGTGTTTTTTAGAGAAGCTCACAAGTGTTACCCTAGCATACTATCCTTTTTAGAGACTGATTTTCCAGCCTTCCTTTCAATTATGATACCCTTCCAACAAATCATTTTCCTGCGCAAGTTAGCCAGAGTCCAATTCTGTTGCTTCCAACCACAGTTCTTGATGGACCTATCATCAGTAATAATTTAAATAGCCAGATAAAGAATTATGACCAGTGAGATTAAACCATGTCATCTCACTTGAGACTGTAGACATTTATTGTACTGACCCTTTATGAGTCAACAAATACATACTTAGCACTGACTAACATTTAAGAGGCATAAAATATTGGTTACAGATTCTACCCATTTATCATTTAAAAAAACATTCACACCAGCCCCTTTACATTAGCCACTCTGCTAGGCATTACAGATCTAAAGACAAATGAGCATTAGTCCTTTACTCTGAAGAGCACATGGTCCAGTGCTACGGAGAAGCCTCCAATGTTGTGGGAGAAATCAAGACAAGTACATATGCAGTACCAGTGTTACCACTCACATGAAGTAAACTAGAATATAAGACTGATAGGTTCTGTCCTTGGCCCTTTCCATTTTATATAATCTCCCTGGGTGACTCAGCTATCCTTTCATGGCTCTATCACTCAGGATTCTCAAATCTATTATCTCTGATCCTTGCTTCTCCCCTGGGTTCCAGACCTACATTTCTAGTTGTCAGCAGGACATCCCTACCTTGGGGTCCCACAGGCCTCCCATACTCAACATGCCAAGAACCAAAGTCATTCTCCTGCCTCCCCAACCTGCTTTCCAACCTGTATGCTCTCTTAGTTGATGGAACAGCTGGCTACCCAGCTAGCTAGAAATCATGGTGTCCTTTTGACTCATCCCTCTCTCTCATTTCTTTTTTTACATTAGTCACCAAGATCCATCACTTCCATCTCAGAAATGTTTCTGTGTTGTCGCTTCTCAATCCACTGCTCTGGTTCAGAATCTCATAGGCTTTCACCGATGCTGCTACAGCAGCCCCATAGCCCATCCCTCTGTTCTAGCATTCCTTTGGCATTGTCTACCCTGCTGCTAATTATTGTTTTGACCCTGAGATCTCACTTCATTCCTCTGTTAGTATTTCTTTACTGGCTCCCCAAAGTCTTCAGGACGAAGTCCAAATTTCTTAGTCCGACATGTAAGAGACTTCACAATCTTGTTCTGTCAACTTTTTCCATCTTCACCTTTGTGAGTATGATGGAAAAAAATAAATTCTTAACTTTGCCTCTAAGTTATCCCTTTAATTCGCCTTTCCTTACTAACTGGCCAGCTGAAATTCCAACCAGTTTTCTGTTCCCCACTTCGTGATCATCTCCAAGAAGAGCTACGCTCAACTCCTTCCAGCCACCATCAATAGTTTCTTTTCATTCTTGTGGGATTAGTCCTTTTAACCCTGACCTACAGCAAAAGACCACAGTCTATTCTCTCTGGCTTCCTTGTGAATGAGCATCACCCTGTACATTCTTGTAACCAACCTGGAACCCATTCTATTTCTCTCACGAGGACTAAAGTCCTGGGAGGTCATTCTCTTGTTTGTCAAGGTAGTCACATCCCTCATGTTCATCAAAATTTTTCAATCCAAAAATTTTAAAATTGAAATGAAGCTCAAAAGTAACCTAAACATCTTTTCCTATACATACATGTCTCATTTATAACAACTCCTAAGATTTTTCCACCCTCCTGGGACAAAGAAATCACTACTCCTGAGAACGCTTATTCCATCTTCAGATGTCTCCAATTGTTAACAGTTATTTCTTCATACAGAGATAGACTCCTGCCCCTTGTAACCTCTACTCCTGGTTCTAGTTCTACCCAGCCACAGTCCCTCTTCTGTACAATTTCAATTGGAGATACTTCCCATGCTCCCTTTCCCAAGCCCTCCTTCACTAGATCAAACCTTCCCAGCTCCTCCAACCATTCCTAATGTAAAATTCAATGACTGAATCGGTGGCTCATGGAGGTTGCAATTAGCAAACTGTTGGACCCAGTTATATGCCCCCTGAGGTCTTCATCTCCTTGAGACTGACCTCAGATATCAGGTTGTTCTCTTGGTCTCACATAAAAGGAATACCTAACAATTAGGCCTGTAGGATATAACAACCAAATAATTAGAATTTTAAAAACTGTGACAATATTTTGAAACATTCTATAAAGGGTGTCAAGACAAAGAAGACTCAGAATTTTGCATCTGGGAAGTAAATACAGTGCTTCCTGTGTCCAGAAAATTCTCAGAGATTTCAAACTAACTTCTTTAAATAAGTAACACAACTAGTGTTGCCCTAAAAAGTTCACATGGCAAATATATCCTACTCTGAACATTTCTAATTAATATGGAACACAGTGGAATGATGTGTTTCTCCTCCCCAGACCTCTAGCATGTACCTGCTTATCTCACAGAGATGCTGCTTCTACTATGATGAGTTGATTTGCAGCCTCCCCAGTTTTCCTTTACCATTCTTTTTGGAGTGACACTGATTTCTGTTCATCTTTTCTCCCATCACTGATGACCATGTTCATCTGAGCCTTTCTTTCACCCTCCTCTCTTTGTCCTAAGGACAGTATCTTCCCCCAAATGACTATATGTTTTGATCCAGGAGAATGCTCTTCTTATACTTTGCAGAATTGGGAACAAATTATTTCAAGTGGTTTTTACCTGGCCTCCTTTTCCTGCACAGGCAATTACCTCTCTGCAAATGGCTACACTGGCCAAATAATTGTGTCCGCAATTAGCTAATTGCAGGCTCAATGAGCCACTTGTTCCTTCAAGCTTGGCCATTAGAGTTGTGTGATTGGGCAGAAATTTATCCTTTTATTCCCTTCTGGTTTACAGAGTCACAGCAGATCCCAAATCTGATTTCCCTGCATTCTTTCACAATGTCAATATAAGCCTTTTTTGTTTTTTTTTTTAACCTCCTTTTGTATATCTGTCATACTTCCCATTCTTCTACAGATCACAGCAGCTATACTTTAAATGTTAGACCCAAAGAATATGTATTTGAATTAAGTCAACCCTCTAATAAGGGTTAATTATTACTAATTAAAGGGTTAATTATTAATAAATAATCACCTTTATCCATTCTATTAACCATAAAAGTAAGGCAGCAGAACAGTTGACTTGCCAAAGGCACACAGTCATAATAGAGTAAAACTAAAAATCCCAAATAGCTGATTCCACTTTCTCCCTGGGCCCTGAGTTTCCCACATAGGGTAAAATTAACCTTCAACCTCATTTGCCTTTAAAAGAAAGCACTGTTAAACATTCCTCCAAAGTGTTATCACCTGGCTTCTTGGAAACTACAAAAAAATGTCATTTCATCTAAAAAATGGCTTCAAGTGTTTACCTTTCCTCCTACAATTAATGCAGTTTCTTTTCTAAATTTCTGTATTTTTATTCTAATTTTCTTGTACAACCAACATTTATAGAACATGAAATATGTGCTCAATTTGCAGTTTCATACAAGGTCATTTCCCACTGACATTCCTCCAATCCACAAAAGAGGACAAACAGCCGAAGATAATGAATTTTCCTTTATGAAGAAATTAATATTAATAAGGATTAGTTATATTTGCTTTGAGAATGACTCAGACGCTTTTAGGTTTCAAGGCATTGCCTTCCAATTAAACCTTAGCAGATTCTCCAATAGCTCTTTCCATCAGGCACATTTTATTGTTAAACTCTCCAATTTACAGCCACCCTTCCTCATGATCATCTTAAGTGTAGGTAACTGAATGGAAAAAGATTCCTGACATCTTGGGAGATCCCCACTCACCAATGAATTCTTATCTCTCAGTTGTCTCTACTCTGCTTCAAAGCCTCTGGCATTTTCTTCAACACTTAGCACACAAAAAAAGGTAAGTAAAGTGTAAGAGCAAAGAGAAATTGGGGTTAAAGGTACACAAGTGGAAAGGAGGGAAAAAAACAACCCTGAGAAAGCAGAAGAGACATCAGGACAGTGCCAAAAAGGGCCTCCAAGAAACAAGATACAATAAATAGGGCTACGGCTCATAAAGAGCATATTCTAAAACCAGTTTGTGCACAAGAAATAAAGCCTGCGTATGCAAGCTGCTGGAATGCTCAGGGAAAAGTGAGGGGAGGGAACAGTGCAAGCAGTCTAAGATATAAATGCTGCTGATGGTTTTCACTTACCCAACACCAGCAGCTCTGCCAAGTCCTCATTTTTGCCCTCCAGGTCATCAGGGGTAGTGATGATACAGTAATAGAGTCCGCTGTCTCCCCACATGAGTTTTCCAATTTGAAGATCTGCATCTGTTATCATAAAAAGAAGTGCCCATTCCTAAAACTTCCCCCTGAAAGGAAAACACTGGACAATGGAAGGTGAGAGAGGGGCCCTTCCAGAAGGAATGGCTGCCGTGTTCTACTTCTCCACCTAGATGGTGGTTGACAAGATGTTTGCTCTATTTCAAATGAACAAATACACAAACAAAAACCCAGTAACAAACACTAGCATCCCCAAGGTGAAAGACTTAGGGCGTCCCCAGAAAGTGGTCTAGTCCTGGTCCAGTTTTGGGAATAGAAGACTGCTTTCAACTAACCAGGTCTGCAGAAGCCCCCAAAAGCCAGATACATTCCAGAATTACTCTGGACTCCTAGAAATGAGCTGGCTTCACAGGAGTTCTTCAAAATTCAAATGGTCAAATAGATCAGGTCAGACTCGTAGGCCCTTTTCTTGTCTAATACTTTAGGGAGCAGAAGAAAGGGTAGAACTGATACAGAACCACCTGGGCTTGGGCCAAGGCATCTACCTGGTTCTGTAATGTGTATGCTTACATCCCTTCTCCCAGCAGAGGAACTTCTTGGGAAGTCTGCTTCTGAGTTTGGGAAAGGGCCATAGAGGCTGATGTCAAGGTGTATTTGAGGACATTCTTTGGCTAGAATCTATTTCACTTCAGTTCTCATAACAAGCTCCTCAGACGAGAGGTTAGGTTTGAGAAAGACCATTTCCAAAGCTCATCTCAGTGTCTGTTCTAGATATTACACCCTTCACCCTTTCTCCCCTCACTGTCCCCTTAAGTAATTTGCTAGGCTTCTTGAAGCTTCTATTTCCATAAAGTCAAAATCTTGAGGGGTTGCAAGGCGGAGAGGCTGACATCCCCTTGTGTGTGGGACAGTGGAACGAATCTCCCTTCTATTCCTGGTTTCAAAGCAAAGGTACCGTTACCATGCACAATCGTGATCTCTCTGCCCCTGTAGAAATCTCCCAGGGTGACGGTTGAGCCCTGTTTTGAAGCTACCACTCGAACAGTCCTCCTGCTGTCTAAACAATCCAAGTAGGGGTCCCATTCCAGGTTTCTTTTGCTGAGAGACTGGGCCCGGGGAGAGGACATGCCCAAGGACTCCCCCATGCGATCCTGGCAGTAGGATTTGAACTTCCACTGCACGACTGCAGGCTGATGGGAGGACGTGGAGAAGTGGCAGCGAAGCACAGTGGGCTGAAAAAGCATGGCCACCTTCTTCTTGTCAAGCACCGTGACTTGAAGGCCATCAGCCATGGCTGCAAAACAGAATGAATATATCCAAATGGTATGCACATTCCGGACCTCACCTCACACCACACAGTCATACCTCTCACCTCACCTCCCTCACCTGTCCCTTCCCGCTTTCTCCATCACTGTTAATGGCATCCACATCCATCTGGTCGTGTTGTCCAGAAACCTGCCTTCACTCCCAATATCCAGTCAGTCACTAAGCCATATCCACTTGATCTCTCTCTCTCTAAGTTTTTATTTATTTGAGAGAGAGAAAGAGAGAGCATGAGCACAAGCAGGGGAAGGGGAGAGGGAGAGGAAGAAGCAGACTCCCCGCTGAACAGGGAGCCTGATCTGGGGCTCAATCCCCTGAGATCATGACCCGAGCCGAAATCGGACGCTTAACTGACTGAGCCACCCAGGCGCCCCTCCACTTGACCCCTTAACATCTTTAATATCTTCCCTCCTCTTTGACCTCACTACCATTGCTTTTGTTGGTGTCCTCTTCATTTCTTGCTTATATTACAATAATCTCTTGTCTGGTCTCCCCACCTGCAGTTGCCCATATGCTATCCATTCTCCTTGCTATATAATTCAGATGATCTTTCTAAATCCGATTGCTATGGCTCTCCTTCTTAAAACCCTTCCCTCAACCTCCATGGCCTTCAGGATAGAACCCAAAGTTCCTGGAAAGGCATTGAAGATGCCCCGTCATCTAGTCCCTCTTACCTCCTCAACCTCACTTCTGGTGGCACCTCTATGTGAGCACCAAGAATAACCAAACAAGTAACAATTTCCCCAAGTGGGACTTGCTATCTCACACCTCTAGGCCTTTGCACATGACACTCCTGGTTTCTGGAATGCTTTTTCCTCACTTCTTTCCTTGGAAACTCTTTTCCACCTTTCAAAGCCCAGGTTAAAGGCTTTCTGTAGGCCTTCTCTGACCCTCAATTCATTAGTCACCTCCTCCTTTGTGCCATCAGAACCTCAGCATCCTCTTCTAGACATTTCTTATAATTACTTTGCAAGTATTTCTTTTCATGCCTGTCACCCCTAACAGACTTGTCAGGTAAGAAACATGTCTTATCTTGCTGTCCCAGCTTGTGAAGCCCAGAAGTACTCAACAAATATTTGATAAATAAAGACCATGAAGCTGGGAAGTATGACTTCAGGAGGAAGTGACCTCCCTTCCAGCTGATAACCAAGCAAAGGGGACAGAGATGAAGGGAAAAATGAAAGCTTTAAGAGAAATGAAGATTTTCAGATCAAAAGAAGTAGACTAAGTTCAAAAGCTTTGAAGGGTAATCAGAAAAAAGTGAGGAAAAAAACGGCTAGAAAGCAGAAGAGAAGTGTAAGTGGTGAAAAGATCCAACCTGAGGCCTGGTGTCCAAGAAAGGGAAATTGCAGTGAATGGTAGACCAGGGGAGTGTTTGAGAGGCAAAAGGTCTCTATTAACTCAATGGTGAGATCTAGAAATTCCAAGAAAAGAGAACTTAACTTTCTCAATTGAATGGGAGAGGCAAGAGTTTCTAGCTTGATCTGACATTAGAAGCAGAAACAGAATGATGATGAGAGGCAGAAAAAAGGAATATGAATTAAAAGACACTATAAAGAGGTTCTGAATTAAATCCAGGAGCCTGCCAAGTCAGCTTCAGGAAGCTTGAGACAGAAAGTTTCGCCCTAGAATTACAGTGGACTTGAGACACACAAGGAAGGACTAGTTTCCATGGGGCACCTTCCATCCTTTATTACGGCCAGTGTTCAAAATGACACTAGGCATCACACTCACTCTTATGGTTCAAACATACATTTATTTATGAATGTCTCCTATGAAGCACCCTCGACAAGGGCAAAATACCGCATTTGTGCTCATGTCTTCTGATTTCCAGACCAGTGTCTCTCCATTATGAGAAACCAGGTTCTAATTCTTCTGGGGAGAAAACAGTTTCTGCATTCTGTGGAATGAGGAAGTGCGAGTATTTGAGATTTACCAAATCTTAGTGTTTTGAACCTACCAAGCACTATAGAATAAATGACGGAATGCATGCACAAATGAATGACTATTACTATGGGAATTTCTAGGATTTTGTAGAGAAAACCAGTTAAATGTGTCATAAATAGCACAGTATAGTAAAATAGCATTGAAATCACATAGATGGGGCTTTGAATCCCATCTGGCCAACGATTAGCAATGAGGCCTTACTGAAGTCTCTTAAGCAGTCCTCACTTACAAAATGAGCCTCATAATCCTTATTCACAGGGTTGTTAACAAACAACTTGCCGGGAGGAGATTCTAGAGCAGAGCACTGTGACCATGCCTAGTACTCTTGACTAATCCTCCCTCCCATGTCCTGCCTTTTCCCTCACCTCCCACACTGAGGCTCCTGAATCTCCATGAACATTCACCACCAATAGCTTTGATTACAGCCAGAATATGTAGATCAGCCCCATCAAGGGGCAAATAAGTCCTCTCTGGAAGCTCACTGTCAGTTTCTAGGCTCCATTGTTTCCTTCCACCACCCCCCAAATATTGATGTGCTAATTCCACTGCTCCCTAACTCACAGAGCTGGACTGGGAAAAGAAATTTCTTTACAGTTTCTCCTTAAACTCTACTGCATTAATTCTTAACTTTGTAATTCTTCCCCAAATCCTTATTCACACTCCAATTTTCTAGGTAACAAAAAAGGGGCAGAAGTCAAAGGACTTCAATTAGCAGTGGTTGAGGCTGGATAACCAACCACAGGCACTGTTCCCAGTACAACGCTTTGTACTTGACCACGCCACCTTTCTTCTCTGCTACCTATTCAGGCTATACCTGGGAAATCACATTTCCTAGCCTTTGTAGGATAAATAAAACCAGCGAAGGAGGCAGCTGCTAAATAAAAGTGTTGTTTTCTGTTTGTTTTATTTCATCAGGGTTTTTGTTTGTTTGTTTGTTTATTTGTTTTTTGACAGAGTTAAGTGTGGGGTTTTGTTCATTAGGTGATTACTAAGAATAACCTCCTTTCCCAGCTCTGTTCTCTGTTAATGAGATTAGCCTAACTTGACCAAGCCATTGGATTCCCCTAATTTTTTTTAAGGGGGGGGAGGGGCAGAGGGAGAGGGAAAGAGAGAATCTCAAGCAGGCTCCACACCCAGCATGGAACCCGACGTGGGGCTGGATCTCACAACCCTGAGATAATGACCTGAGCCGAAATCAAGAGTTGGACGCTTAATTGACTGAGCCACCCAGGCGCCCTTGGACTCTCCTAATTATTAATAGAGATTAGTTGGTTCTCAGCTTATTCCATGACATACAATATAAATTCATGCTCCAAAGAATAAGGAATACAGTGTCAGAAACATCTGCCTTTTTATAACGTGATAGTTAATGGCATGGGTTTTGGAGTTAGTCCTAAATTAGAATCCAAGCTTTACCACTTCCTAGCTGCATGACCTAAGGCAAATTTCTCAACTCATGAATTTCAGTTTCCTCACTGGTAAATATTTCCTCACTGGTACATAATAATTGTAACTACCTTACAGAGTTGACTGAGGGTTAAATGAAATTTTAACCTAAGCACTTAGGATAATATGGTACATGGTAAACACTCAATAAATATAGCTGTTGCTGCTACTGTCAAGAACAGTCTGTTGACTTCTGTGAAGCTATGAACCTAGAGCTAGGTGAGCACAGATATCAAGATGGGAGATGCTGAATGTGTATAGTGCAGAATGGGCAAAATTGCACAGGAATGCTAGGATAGGTAATTATAAGTTCAATAGTGGCAGTGCCTGGGTGTGCCCATCATGGCACAAACCCTTATGCACCTCCTGGAAATCAGAAAATGGAGGGTAACCATGTGTACATATGTGCAGGTATAATGGGAACCCTGGGGCTCTAAGCTAAGGATGGAGTTAGACAACTGGAGAGGACAGGACTGGAAATTTCAAGGAAAGGCCAGTTTATTGGACCTTTAAGGAAAATAAGAATGAAGAGTTAGAGAGAAAGTTGAAAATTCCAGTCTCTGCTTTAGCTCTATAAACTTCACACTGTAGGATGAATGCCACCCAATTCTTGAGCCTGCCCTGACCATGCCTACTAGGAACCCCATTCCCATTGAAGGGTGGGATCTAGAATTGCTCTTCTGGCCCTAACCCTGAATTCCAGGTGAAGGCTTGGATTCCTTAAACCCACTAAGCAGCATCTCTTTCCCTTAACCTGTGTTTATCTTGGACTGTTTCTTCCTGATTCGCAAACCATTTGCCCAACTGAGACTGAGCTCCAGCCTGCTTGCCTGGGCCACGATACCAGCCCCTTCTCCAGAGGATTTGGTATTGTTTTCTATATCCCTTACACATGACTGAACCAAATCTAAAACTGATGTGGCTAACCACCCCACTTCAAAAAACACCTCTCATGGAACCTCCATTCCTACCTCCAGATCAGGCCCCTCAGAGATGGTGTATAATTTGGGTGAAAACTAAGATGGACAAGCCCACATGCACACTGAGATCTGGCCTGGGAACACCCTCCCTCTGGTTCCCATTTCCAAGAGATCTGCCCTGGGGTGAGGTTAGGGTCCTGAGCATTGATTCTACTTCCTACAGAGTTTTTTCTATTTCACCACTTGTCAGACGCCAAAACCTAGTACTTCTTATGCTGGGGTGTATATAGGCTAATAAGAATGTTTTTGTATGCCTGGTAAACAAAAATATTCAGCCTCTTTGTGGTGTTCATCTGTGCATTTGATCTAAGAAATCTTATTCTTTCCCGTAGTTCCAACTATCATTATGTCTCAGACCCTCAACTCTCTGAAGCCTCATCTGCATGTTTCAACAGATACTTCAAATTCAACATGTCTAACCCCAGTCATAATCTCTTTTCCCCTGCTCCTTGCTTATAAAGCAATCCTTCCCGCCCCCCTCTAGCTCCTTTGCCAGTATATCCCCATCCTATCACCAGATCGAAATCATAGCTTTGATGATTTCCTCTCTGTCCCCGAATACATTTGGTTGGTCACTAAATCTCAACATCTCCCAAAT